TGCCCCAGAGCCAATTGTGTTCCTTCCTTTCTTCTCTCTTCCATTTATCTAGCATCATATGAAACATAGCAGGAGCTAGTAAACACTGAGTGAAGTGACCTGGGTGATATGGAGTCTAAGCTAAGACTTGCCAGTAATTACATGTAATTTATCTGACTTAGACTAAGTCTGGGTAAAAATATGGTCACATGCTTCTGCTTTTTCAATTAATTGTTTGCCCCTCTTCTCTAATTATCAGGAAGTCCAGTGTCTCCTTTTGGGTCTCTCTATCCTAATTGTCTAAAAATCCTGAGTTTCGTCAGTTCAAAGGGAGCCAAAAATTTATGTGACTCTGTGGGATCTGCCACTGATGTTGTGTCTTGCTGCTCCTGGGTGTCAGTGTTGGAGGCAGGTCCCGTTCTGTTCCCTGGAGACTACCTACCTCACAAAGTTGTGGTACAAATGAAATAAGCTAATACGCTGAACATGCTTAGTGAATAGATGGATACATGGCACTATGTAGGCATTTAAGATTTAGCTATTATGTTATTAGGCCTCAGTTTCACGTCTTATGTAGGGCCTAGAACAGAGGGTCCCTGAAACCATCCCAGGTCTGGCAAGTGGCACAGAATGGATGGGAGCCTGAGTCCCTGAAGGTCAGGGTGGAGCCTGGAGGCCAGGTTGGGCCAGTCCCTGCCCTTCTCTGGAGTCTGTGGCTATCTTATTCTCATTGTCCTGAGGTTGGTCTGCCTCTTGGAAGAGGACACAGAATTGAGTAGCATAGAATTCCTTGTAAATAAATGATGTATTCTGACTCAGAGAAGAAAGAGTTCTGGGGTGTTTGGACTAAAAAAATATAGTGTCAGGTCACAGGGCCAGTTGATGGTAGTTGGGCCTTGACCAGTGTCTTTCTGAATGCAGAGCTTGACTCTAAACCCAGGAGATAATTCTGCTCTACTTTGGAAGGCAATGTTTTGGCCGTGTTGACAGCAAAGCTGTGGCTCATTTATGTTTGTGTTCTCCCCATTCCTGGCACAGGGCCTTCTCCATGTCAACTGCTGGAAAGGGTGATCACATGCTCACAAGCACACGTGTGCACACATGCACACACGAGCTCATTTATGAACGCTCTGCCTTCCATATCTTCACTTCTCCCTTTTTTGTACTTTGAGGCCTCAATAATTAAGAACAAAATATACAGTGCATGTAAACATTTTCTTTGCCTTTGAGTAACTGTTGTTGCTTTACAACTTTCTCTATCTTTGCTTTAATTACCAGATTTCATGCCCTCTAGAATACACCTTTCTTGGAAAACAGCAACACCTTATCTCGTTAATAAACTTTGTGACTAGCACATAAAATATTTCCAAATAGTAATTTATTTTAGATCATGTGAAAAAGATTCACTGTTCACATCTATTAAAGGTTAATGAATCATTAATATAAACTAATCCCTTTCACCAATCCATTTACCTATTTAGGTTGTGTCCTAAAAGTTCATTCATGACTCAATTTGCTTATTTCATGGGGACTACATTATCTATTATATAAGATATAATATTATATATTAAATATAATAATCAATACCAATAGCAGTAATATAATAGCCACAACTTATTGAGCACCAGTACTTTACACATCTTTCCATTTTTCACAGCAACCCTGCGAGATAGGTACCCATTTTACAGACAAATGCCTTAGGGCATTCAACTAAGTCAAGGAACTTCTTTAAGAGTACACAAAGTCAAACACATTTCTTGCCCCAACTACAGCTCCTGTTAAATGGGCAACGGCAAGCTACCCATGACCTCCCTCTCCACTCCTCCCTTTACCAGCCAGTGGGTGGGCCCCAAGAGGGCACTTGACTCAACACCAGTTAATCCTGGTTGTGGCCTGGTTCAAAAAGAAGAGTTTGGCCAGTCTGATTCTCCCTTAAGAATCTGTATTGGGAAACATGGAAAGATGCAGTAAGTTGGTAAGCATTGAGGCTAAAAGCCTCAATGAGAAGTTGTTGAATGAGTGTTAGGAAGGGAAGCCAAGGAGACTGTGATGGGTATATTCAGGCTGAAGTTTATAAGAGAGGAGAAAAGGCAAGCAGAGACTTTAATGTAGTGGAAATACATAGGGTAAATGGGAGTGGGACAGAAAGAATGGCATGCAGAGAGCAACCAGGTCAGTGCAGAGTACTCTGGGGCCAGGCACTGACCCTTTATCTGCCTTTACTCCCCCGACACCCCTGTCCACTTTCTGTGTCAGAGTGGCCTCAAAATAACCCTTCATTGCTTGAGCTAACTTTAGGGAGTGTCAGTTTCTTTCAACCAGAAAGGCCAGATTGGAACACATAGCCTGTAAGTGCTGAAAAGGGGATTTGAATCCCAATTTTGTGGCTAAGGAGCCTCTGCTATTGATGCCGGGGTTCTTGTTCACAAAGCCGAAGAATGAGCTTCACAAACAGTCAAGGTAGGAGAACAAGGTTCAGGCTTTTATTTAGAAATAAAGTGAGAGGAAAGAGCTCCTGGCTCACGCCAGGAGGGGACAAGAGAACCCGTGGTGGTGCGTTGTCTAGGGGTTTTATAGGCAGTTGAGGATTTTTCGAGAACATGAAAAAAACTTAGGGGTGTGGACTTGTTAAGTGGTCCCTGAATATTTAGAATTAACTTAACACAAGCAACTTCCTCTGATGATTTCTCTCTGAGATACCAGCATCTTGATCTGGGAGCATATGAAACAAGGCCACCTGCTCAGCCCCCAAGGTGGGCTGAGGTATTGTTTGCTAAAGAGTAAGTTAAGAATTTCTACCGTCTTAACTTCTTGGGTATTAAAATGCAATCTTATCTTTAAGGTGGAATCCTTCTTGCCTTTTACTGTGTTGTTTATGCCTGGTCTTACTTGCTAAATTAGTTGCCCAGTTTGCAAAATCACTTCATCAGATCTGAAGGAGGAAAGACAGCACATAGGCCTGGGCCTTTTAGTATGCTAAAGTGAATCTTACACATGATTCTAAATGGTTAGCATAATAAAACATGTGCTACTTTTCTTTATCTGGGGAACATTAACTGATGTCACTGAAGAATGATTCTAGAGCTTAATGTTTAACATAGAGTTTTAGTAGGGAGGTTTCCATGCATGTAGTTACCTTGCTCTGACTGCAAATATGCAGCCCTGCCCCCTCCGGAGGTCCTCACCCTACTCTGACTACATCCACGGTCCCTGTCTCACCTTCATCAGTGTACTCCTTTGCCACATTACAAATGCTGCTGTGGCCCACAAGCTTACCTTAATGTATCTGAAAAAAAACCAGTAATGGACTCAAGTTTCCTGAGTCCATGTTCCAAGTCTTGGTTTGCACTCTGAGCCCTCCCTTTTTTAACCCCTGAGAGGGTGGAGATGAAGAAAGTCTTGTGATTGGGAGGTCTCTGAACAACTCTAGGGCAGGACTCCAACTTCCGGGCGGAAGGTGCTACACTGAGGAGCGTGTGGGAGAGTGCAAGGCTGGCGGCTTGACAGTGCAGGGGAGATGTGGGGACCGGGATTGGTCTTATCTCTCCTCCCATCCCCAGTTCTAAGATAGCACCTGACATAGATTTAAACCAGTGATTGAATGAGTCAATGAATAAATGAGTAGTAGAAGTGGGTCACAGCCCCTCTTCAAATGTATAGCTCATTCTTCAGTAGAGTCTTCCCAAATGAAGGACACTTATGTCTGTCTAAACACTAATTGATGCAACCACCTGAGTAATGCTTACCCTGAGTTGTCAATTTCAGCTTAAAAAAATACCAAAGATGATGTAGTGATGACCGCAGTAGTGACATGGTTCCAAGAGTACAGATGGACCACTCTGGATTGCATTTGCCCTGTTTGCAAAAATACCGCTTGCTTTGTCTTCCTCTGTCTTGAGAGTGAGGTTTTCAGTTTAAGAGGCTGGCTAAAAAATGCAGAGCCATTTCCTGGGCAGGCTTCCAAGTGACTACATCTCTCTCACAGCGCTCCCTTGAGCCCCAGCCCCAGCTGCCTGGGGTGGGGCCTCCAGCCATTGGTGGCTGTTGGAGCTTCCACAGGAGCAGTTATCTGCCGCCTGCCAGAAATGCTGTGCTTTTAGGCCCTCCCAGGGCACAGATGACAGCTTTGGCCTTTGCACTGAGGAGACGTCAGAGTTTGTGATTGGCAGGGCTGGTGTGTGTGAAATACAGGCGATGTCTGCCACACTTCTGGGTATGGCATTCCTTCCAGCCGAGTACCCTGGGGCGTGGGTAAGTCTACATGTGAAGTCTGCCCTCGTCATTGGTTGTGAAATGTTCAAAGCTGAGCATTGTGACTTTCCAAGGGCATGACTTAACACATTTCTTAATTCTGCTGAGCCTCAGTTTCCTTTTCTGTGAAACAGAGATGGTATTATCCTACAGAAGGTAGAAGTATCTAGCCATCTGTCTTGCCAATGGGTTTCAGCCTGGGCAAGTTCTCTATGGATTCAGTGTGACCAAAGAAATTGACTGCAAAACGCTCTTTGGGGTGAAAGGGTTTATTACCCGGCTTGTTCTCCCGTGGCAGGTCGAGCACTAGCGTCTCTGCCTCCCAGAGCCATGGGCCGAGCCCTTTATATAGAGCAATAATAGCTCATTGCCTAAAGGTGTGGAAGCGGTAGCCCAGCAACACGCCAGTTACTTCATCAGGTGGTTTAAGTTCAGTGAAGATCCTGGCCATAGGAACCCCAACTTCCCCACACCATCTTAGGGTGTTGTGGGACCTAGAAGACATGACATATCTGGAGCACCTCACCTGGTACCTGGCATATCGTAAACACTGAAGTGCTCTTGTTATTTCTGAAGCCTCAGTCAAAATAAGGTTTCCGTGACAATGGCCCTCTTTTCATTCCTAGCAGTACAATATTTCTCTGGAAGACTCAGTGGGCATATTCTGCTTCTTACTCATGTCTGTGTAGCCAGCAGAAATAAACCGTCAGGGGAAGTTAGTGCAACAGGAAAGTTTGTCCGACTGTATTCCCTTTCTGTTTCCCTTCTAGACCCTGACTGCACCTGCCCCATTTGCAGATGAAACCAGCTGCCAGTGCCAAGCACCCCATGAAAAACTGACTATTGCTCAGGCCCGCCTAGGAACACCAGGTGAGGCTGTACTTCTTGTTCTCCAAATGGGCCCCATCCTGCCATCTAAAAGTAGCAGAAGGCCTGTCATTATTGGAGCAGCACTTTCAATTGGAGAGTTGAGAGATTTATAGCATGGTGCAAAAAGGGTAAACACCAACAGTGACACTGAGAGCAACCAAAGTAGTACAGTAAAAGATGAGCAGGAGGCTGGAGCTGGAGCCCAGCTCTACCGTCTCCTAGTTCTACAGCCTTGGGCAGGTCACGAGAATGATCTGAATTGCTTTCCTCTTGTGCAAACGGAGAATGATACCTGCTTTACAGGGTTTTTGTGACAACTGGATTCAGTTAAAAATACCAAAGCTTTTTTTAAACTGTGTGGGCTTAGACAAAGCTAAACTACTCTAATTATGTCCATTCTTTTTTATTTTTATTTTTATTTTGGTATCATTAATGTACAATTCCATGAACAACATTGTGGTTACTAGACTCCCCCCATTATCAAGTCCCCACCACATACCCTATTACAGTCACTGTCCATCAGCGGAGTAAGATGCTATAGAATCACTACTTGTCTTCTCTGTGTTGTACTGCCTTCCCCGTGCCCCACCCCCTACATTATGTGTGCTAATTTTAATGCCCCTTTTTCCCCCTTATCTGTCCCTTCCCACCCACCCTCCCCAGTCCCTTTCCCTTTGGTAACTGTTAGTCCATTTTTGGGTTCTGTGAGTCTGCTCCTGTTTTGTTCCTTCAGTTTTTTTCTTTGTTCCTATACTCCACATATGAGTGAAATCATTTGATACTTGTCTTTCTCCACCTAGCTTATTTCACTGAGCATAATACCCTCTAGCTCCATCCATGTTGTTGCAAATGGTAGGATCTGTTTTCTTCTTATGGCTGAATAATATTCCATTGTGTATATGTACCACTTCTTCCTTATCCATTCATCTACTGATGGTAATTATGTCCATTCTTAAAAGTCGGTGTTTTAAAAAAGTTTCTCCAAGTATGCCTTAAATGAAAGATCTTAGGCTGTGCTCTAGGAGTTTGTTCATTCATTTACTCCTGTAGCCTATACCAGAGATGGACACGGAAGAAATTTAAAAAGAACTATAAGTTATGATCTCTGTTTCCCAAGAGCTTTCACTACTATTAAAGAGGCAAATAGATAAGAAGTAAAACCCACCGGTAGGATGCATGCATGTGCTTAGGGGGAAAATCCTATGCCACAGATGGTAAGTGTTAGTTTTAAGAAAGGGCAGATTCATATGGGCCTGGAGCAGTCAGGCAAGACCTTAGGGCAGACCTGAGCTGATCCTTTTGGGACAAGTAAGACTTGGACCATGTGGGCAGAAAGTAGAAGGGTATTCTGGGCAAGTGGAACATGAGGAGTGAAGGCCCAGAGATAGAGAATTGTGTAGCATTAAATGAACGACTGGCATTCCCGTTGATTGGAATGGAGTGGAAAATAAGCCTAGTTGAGCAGGTAAGCTTTGAGCCATGTAAGATGGCATAACAATGGTTTCCATTCACCATTGCAAAAAACAGACATTCCACATTTAATAGAATCCACGGGACAAAGGACAGTTTGCTTCATAATAACATTTGATTACATATTTGCTCTGCACCAAGTTCTTTATACGTGTCATGTCATTTCACCATCACAGCTCTGTGATTCGTAGTTTTAGTATTTCACAGATGAGAAAATGAAGATTTCAGAGAGGCCGTGAATCTGCACAGGGCTATTCAGCTCTTAAGTGGCAGTGGGTAGAGCTAGGATTCGACTCCAAGTCCCTTTCACATCAAGCCCTGGCTGTGTCCACCACACTGGGCTTCCCTGTGGAGCACAGGCCACAGCGGACCATGGAGCTCAGCAAACACACTCTCAGGCTTTGAACCAGATAGTGGAAGGTGTGTGCACAGACAGTAGCCATGATCTGTCGAGATGGTGCTGTCTGCCATGCTCACTGCTGTTTTACTGACACCTAGAGAGGTACTTGTGCTCAAGGGCTGTGTGCTCAGTAAATATTTCATGAGTGAGTGAATGAACAAAACAGAAGTTTGGGGCAAAAGAAGGAGCTTGTCCTCTGAAAACAGAATCAGAGAGTTTGGCGTTGAGCCAGCATCGAGTTAACGGGGTGAGATGGGGCATCTGCACCTTGTCTAACCCCAAGGAGTTTAAACTTGAAAATCAGGCTAGAATAAGATGGAGGTGCATTTTGAAATAGTTGGGTGGTGGGCTGTGTGGAACATGGGTCACTACACGAGGAGTAAGATGGAGCAAAGGTAAACTCCCAGTCTTAGAAGAGAAAGTCTCCCCTCTTATCTCAGGTGATGGACTTGAGACTTTATGCAAGAGAATTTGTGATGTTAATGGCCACCTGGCCAGGAAACTTCTGTTGGAAATTCCTATATTTGGAACTTCTAACATCAGTGTTAAAATGTGACAAAAAGTTGGCTTTTTGATTACCTAGAAGGCACATAATAGTCTTAGACCACACCGTGAAGACCATGGTTTCCTAAGAGCAGTGGCTTACAAACTTAGGTGCTTAGCGTGCCCTAGAGGTACCAGCAGTTTCAGACTCAGTAGGGCTGGGCTGGGGCTTGAGGATCTGCATTGCCAACAAGGTCCAGGTGCTGCTGCTGCTGCCTCTCCTGGCAGCACACTGCAAGAGCCAAGAAGTGCTGCCTAAGAGTGACCGATGGTAGTGGTTGGAGGGAGTGATAGGGAAATTGTCCAAATATAATTGTCGGAGCATTGTGTGGGTAGTAGAAAAGCTCAGAGAATTTTTTTTAAATCTTGCTGTTGGACTACTTTTTAAGAAAACAGGAAAAGCATCATTACTCTTTTGAAGTGTTTGGTAATTTTCAATAGTGGTAAGCAATTACCATTTTGTGGCACTGTCTTTGAGCATTCCAGCAAAAAGATAAAACAGACCCCCATTTAGGGTTTATCATGCACTTCAAGTCTATGGTTACCACTGAAGTCTTTCACTATCTCCTGCACTAGCCCTATTTTATCACTTAATACAATTGCCTACCATATGTTTTGCAGTCTTAGGTCTGCCCAGACAAGGCTGGTATATAAATTCTAAAAGAGGTAACGACAAACTGCTCCTAGCTCCTGGCTCCCGGACCTCATCGGTGGGGTCACAAGGGTGATGAAAGCTCTAGAGAAGGAACATAGTAGAGTAACTGGAATAGGCACCTTTGCTCTTAGCTCAACTAGGCCTGCTGTGGAGCTATGAACCTACAAGGTTTAGTAAGTATCCTGGGACAAGAGAGAGTCACTCCTTTGTCTTGAGATAAAGGCAGAGTCCAAGTTTATAAAGTTTACATAGTTTTACATAAAATGCATAATTTCCTTTTACTTATAGCCAGCAAAACAATTTTCAATAATTGATAATGCTTGATGTCTAGCTTTTAAGTACATTAAGTTGAAGTTTTTAAAAAAGCACATTAAAAAAATTAAGTAAACTATATATAGTATAGGTAGCTCACAAATAAGGCAAAATTCATTAAGGCAGTTCTTGAGAAATAAACTTGGGAAACTACACACTATAGAAACAAAATAATACAAATTCCCTTTTTGAGAAGGAAAATAGGAAATTAGAACTGAATTTCCCTTTTAAAAAAATGTCAGCTTCAGTGAAAAGTGACCTATGAAACAATCACGTGGACTTTGCAACATGGAGTCTTACATACTGCCAAATAATCATGGGAGTGACATCTATCATCTTTGCTAGGTTTTACTGGTCAGAAGCATGTCACAAGTCCCACTCAGACTTCAAAGGGAGGGTACTCACACAAAGGCATAAGCACCAAGAGGCGGGGATCGTTAGGAGCCACCTTAAGGTCTCTCCATGATGGCCATGGAATAGTCATGTTCTTACTAGTGATCATTGTCAACCCCCAGCTTAACAGGCCAGTGGTTCCTAACATGGAGGTTCTGAACAGTCCCCAGATACCTAAAAGGATGTCCAGAAAAAAACTTCAAAAAACTAAAACAAATATACAAACTAAAAAAAACCACATTCTATCAAAAATTTTTATTATGGAGAATTTCAAATATACACAAAAGTAGAACAATATAATGAACCTTTATGTGTCCATTACCCATATACAACAACCACCAACCCATAGCCAGTCTTGCCTCATGCACGCTCACATCAGCTATCTATTGAATTATTTGAAACAAAATCCCAGACTGCCTATCATTTCATCCATAAATATTTCTGTACAGATGTCTAAAAAAAGGATCATATTGAAAATAAGTCACTATACCACTATCTCACCTAAAAATTAACAGTAATTCTTTAATATCATCAAATATCCAGTGTTCCAGTTTCCAATTATCTTATGTCATCATTTATTTCTAGTTTGTTTAAACTAAAATCCAAATGTTGTCCATACATTACAATATGTTTGATAGGTCTTTTAAATCTCCTTTAAACTGCAGGTCCCTGTCCATCCTTCTCTCTCTCTTTTTTCTTGACATTTATTTGTTGAAGAGACCAAGTTCTATTTGTGGAGGTGGGTCCTGCAGAGTTTCCCAGTCTGGCAGTTGCTGACACACTACAATTTTTAAAAGTGAGCTCATTGCAAAATCAACTCCACAAATACTCTTCAAAGACTTAGAAAATGGCCTTTTTCTCAGTAATTATGTCATCTTTCTTTTCTTTCCTCCCTGCTTCCTGAATTCATTTATCTTGATCACCTCTGAATCAATAACAAAAAGTTCTATAAAACTGCCATCTGCTTTCCCGTGGGGTTTATATCTTAAAACAAATTTTCCTCAATTGAATTCAAATTGAATAAGAGCATTGAAACCAAGGATCCCTCATTAGACAGTTTGTTATTTCAAAGCATTTTCTATTTACTGTGCCTTATTTAGAATACAGTATAATCCTGTGAAGGCAATTCTGTTTGTTCAAAATGGTGTATAATTGGGAATAATTGCAATTCCCTATCTGACAGAAAGTCTCTTGAGTTTTTTATTAGAGAAATTTAATTTATTAGAAACATTGTACCATCTGAATCTATTAATGTAAAATTCCTTTTAATTTATGTTCCAAATTGATGAAGTGTACTACATCAAGAAATAATCACAATTTTAAATCTAAGTTTTAAAGATCATTCAACAGAAGTCTGCACTGGTTTCTTTTTTTATTAAGTTTATTTTTATAACATCAATATAATACATACATGTAGTTTAAAAACTCAGTAGGACTTTTAGGCTTACAAAAAACAAACAGCAATCCCTTGCCCTACCTGCCCCATCCCCTGATTCTTGTTCCCTGTAGGCACTCAGCACTTGACAATCAACTTTCCAAAATGTCATTGCCTTTCTGGTGTCTTCTACCTTTGGGGTATTATACCTTTTTAATTCTTTCTCTGTACTTCTTGTGGTGTTCGGGAGGAAGTGGAGATATGTGTGTGTGTGATTGTGTGTTCAGTTCACCATATTCAGTTTGTAGTTCACCAACCATATTTTCACTTTCTAGCTCCTTCATGGAGAGTCCAGATGGTGTAAAAGTTGGCCCCCAACACCTCTACCCCCAATGTCTTCCTCTTACTTGAGGAGATGGGTCTTCGGGCTGGCTCAGTGAAGTTTCTTGTGTAGTCTCCTGGCTCCTGGGGGCTGTGGTGAATTGAATCCCTCTTCCTTATGGAATGGTACTTCCCAGCCACTGTGAGAGTGTTGTGTCCTCTTCATGCTTGATCTTTCTACCTAGGAAGGACTGTAGTGTTGGTTGCTTGCCTCTGAACCTGAGCACCCCACAATGTGTAACTTTTGCACCCTCCCTTCTTTTGGGGGGTATGTGTCCCCTCCCCCCGGATCTGTTATGATACCAGTGAGGTTAGGGAGTGACCTTTCTGTAGTGGTATGCTGGTGCAGGCAGACCTCAGAGATACTGGGGATTCAGTTCCAGGCCACCGCAATAAAGCAAGTATCTCAATAAAGTGAACCAAGGGAATTTTTCAGTTTCCCAGTGTGTATGAAAATTATGTTTCTACTGTAGTCTATTAGGTGTACAATAGCATGTCTAAAAATATATAAATAATTTAAAAATACTGTTCCACTAAAAATTGGTAACCATCATCTGGACTTTCAACAAGTCATAATCTTTTTGCTGACGGTGGGTCTTGCCTCAATGTTGATGGCTGCTGACAGATCAGGTGGTGGTGTGGCTGCAGCAGTTTTTTTTTTTTGAGAGGGCATCTCTCATATTTATTGATCAAATGGTTATTAACAACAATAAAATTCTGTATAGGGGACTCAATGCACAATCATTAATCAACCCCAAGCCTAATTCTCAACAGTCTCCAATCTTACCAAACAAGTTCTTACATGGTGAACAAGTTCTTACATAGTGAATAAGTTCTTACATGGTGAACAGTGCAAGGGCAGTCATATCACAGAAACTTTCAGTTTTGATCACGCATCATGAACTATAAACAATCAAGTCAGATAGGATTATTCGTTTGATTTTTATACTTGATTTATATGTGAATCCCACATTTCTCCCTTATTATTATTATTATTTTTTTTAATAAAATGCTGATGTGGTAGATGCAAGATAAAGGTAGAAAACATAATTTAGTGCTGTAAGAGGGCAAATGTAGATGATCAGGTCTGTGCCTATAGACTAAGTATTAATCCAAGCTAGACAAGGGCAACAAAACATCCACGGATGCAGAAGATTTCTCTCAAAACAGGGGGGATGAGGTTCTAAGCCTCACCTCTGTGCAGCAGTTTCTTAAAGTGAGACAACAATGAAGTTTGCTGTGTCAGTGAACTCTTCCTTTTATGAACAGTTTCTCTGTAGCATGTGACGCTGTGTGATAATATTTTACCCACAGTAGAACTTCTTTTAAAACTGGAGTCAATCCTTTCAAACCTGCTGCTGCTTTATCAACTAGGTTTATGGAATAGTCTAAATCCTTTTTTGTCATTCCAACCATGTTCTCATCATCTTCATCAGGTGTAGTTTCATTCTCAAGAAACCACTTTCTTTGTTCATCCATAATAAGTAACTCCTCGTCTGTTAGTTTTGTCATGAGATTGCAACTCAAATATAATAATGGAAAAGTTTGAACTATTGCAAGAATTACCAAAATGTGACACAGAGACACGAAGTGAACAAATGCCATTGGAAATGGCGCTGACAGACTTGCTTGACTCAGGGTTGCCAGAAATCTACAATTTGTAAAAATACAGTATCTGCAAAGCAGAGTAAAGTGAAGAGCAATAAAATCAGGTGGGCCTGTAAATGTTTAACAGTTAGCCCCCCAGAGGGAAATAAGCCCTGATTTGTAACATTGGCAAATCTCTATGGTGTAAATACTCCTACCAAGGCTGATTTCAGGCCACTGATGTGACTTGGAGTTGGGAAGAAAGGTGTACAACTGCACAACTGTCTCATACAGACAGCAGACTGTAGCACATTTCCTTTGGGAACAGGACTTGGGGGTCTTCATTCAAGACTACAAGACTCAAGGATGAAGTCATTTGTTCTTTTCATTGAGCTCCTCAGTTGCTCCTACCTTGATCTTCCCGCTGGGCTGACTCTGCCAACGCTTTGGTTATGCCTGGTCTGTCTGAATCTGCTGGCTCAGACACCTGGGACTCTCCTCTGGATCTAGAGAACTTCCCATGCTCTGTGTTTGTCTTCCCTGGTGGCTAAAATGTGTGTTCTGGGTTGATCTTAATTTTGTTGTATTTTTACTCTGCTTTCATGTCCTTGGAAGAAGTTCTTCATAAAATTCATTTCACGAGCTAATACAAAACTGATGGTACGTAGACATTGTGTTTTTGTCAGGTAAACTTACGGTGGTATACTGATGGAATAGAGTCAGGTAACTGGGATTCCTTCTTCTGCAGTTCTGCTGCTAATGCTCTCTGTCTTCCACAGCTGACAGGCCCGTCAGAGTGTATGCAGATGGAATATTTGACCTCTTCCACTCAGGTCATGCAAGGGCACTTATGCAAGCAAAAACACTGTTTCCCAACAGCTACTTGTTGGTAGGAGGTAAGAAGTATATTTTTTCTTTGTCTAGAAAACTCCTTTATAATGTGCTTCCTTTCAGAGTTCCATCATTAAAACCTCACATTGTTAATACTCCTGAGTCAATCCAGACTGGCTCACCTATTCATTGCCTGAAATTTTCAATGCCATGTAAAAAGCCACAGGGGAAGTTCCATCATAGGACTGTATACCACCAATCCCCAGAGAGACAGACGTTATAATAATACCACCAAGGATAACTGCTTCATGTTTTCCCTTAGTGCCTTTCATTTTGTGTTTGGGGCATGATACATTTTCTGTTTTTAGACTTTTCTAGAGGGTTAGGAGAAAAGCAGTATTATTCTGACTTCAAACCTGAGAGAGCTAAAGGGGTTCAGGATGATTAAGGGTAAACAAGGTCATTGTCCGTTTCCTTTGTGTGACGCACGGCACGGAGGACGATGTTGTACTGAGAGCAGTGGCTCACGACAGCCCTGATAGGTTGAATTTATGCATGCTATGTTAAAGAAATGGAGATTTATATACTCAGGCAGTCTTGGTTCACAATGAAGGAACTGACTGGCTTCATAAGCTTGTGGGGAGAGAAGGGTGGTTAAATATACATGGCAGTTTTCCTCTTCCAGAAGGCCTCCAGATTTCAGTTGGGTAAAAGGGATAGTACTTGACTAGGGGGACCTGTTTCTCACCTCTGTAGCTCCTGGAAGCAGCATGTACTTTCACCGTGGTCACTTTTTGCAGATTTACATGAACTAGGCACCATCAAACTTTAGAACTCAACTATGAGAAAAAAGGTGCTGGTAAGAGACTGTTCTGTTTTGTAAAGTATTTTGTTGTCTTCTGCAAGTTTAAAACTACTTTTTGGATATTTAAAAGGAGCCCTTCTGCAGGATTTGTTGAGAATGGTGAACACATGGTTATTGAACGGAATTCCTTCCAGAAGGAAGAGGTGATAAGAGGCAATGGTTCCTAGACAATTCATGCAGAGGGAACCCAAGGCAGGCAGAGAATCCATCACTTGTTCATTTCCCGTTATCTTGAGTGGAAAACCCTTTCTTGAGTGAGCACTGCCACCTGGTGTCTGGCCCTAAGCTGCTGGGGCCCTGGGGAGACCTCTGCAGTGTTCGGGCTTTGGTCATTTTGGCGACTCAAGTTTGGAGGTGGTTAGGTGTGGGTCACACTTAACAGGGATACTAGCCGTGGCCCTGGGTTATCACATTAAAAGTAAGGTCGAATGAAACGTACAGCTGTCAGTACGTTCTTGTAAACTGGAGAAGGCAGTAAATTAATATCCGCAGCTCTCTAGGGCATCAGGCAACGATGGTTTCACTAGTTCATTGAATGTTCCCTTCATGTAACAATTGTTTTTCTGAGTTCCTACTATGTGCCAGGCATTCTGTACACTGAGGAGGCAGCCCCGAACAAAGCAGTCTATGTCCTCAGAGAACTTAGAGTCTGAGGAGGAAGCAGACTCCGCCAAGTAAATATGTAGCAGTGGCTCTATGAAGAAATATAAAATAGGGTAAGGGGAGCAAGTGGCTGCTGGGGAAGGAGGGATGTTTTAGTAGCGAGGTTAGAGGTGCAGAGGCCTATATGAAGTAAGGGCACACAAAAGCCAGAACACAAATCCTTGCTTGGGCAGTGTTCTCACCAGTTAAGACGATAATGTTGGGACAGGTGGAGAAGACATGGCGGCTACAGTGATATTTTATTGATTCATATATCTTATGGAGGCTTTCCATAAAAGCAGATGGCTTAATACTCAGAGAAATTAATACAGACAGGAGTTCAGAACCAAGAATTAAGACAGAAGAGGAGAAAAACTCCAATAAGAAATTCTCAACTTCCTAGCAGCCCCGACAAAAGGAGCCACAGTCTCTCCATAGCTCTCAAATGTTAGAGCTAATAGCGCTCCATTAGGAAGAACCAGCTTTTTCTGCCCTGAGTTCTGAGGTAAGTCTTTCAGAAGGTTCCTGCAAAAGAGGCATCAAGTAATCTATGAAAGATGTCCTATAAGGGCGATTTACAAAGAAAGGCAGCTACCCCCTCAATGAGTGTTATGTGGGTTCTCCATGGAAATCAAGGGCATGTTCAACTACTAAGATGACCATAGAGACCATATCTTTTAGTAGGTGACAGGGGACTAGAGATGGATGGGAAATGAAGCAGTACTACACACAAGGCTATAAAAGAGTGGTATGAAGACTTATGGGGACAGTGACAGTAAGAGTGAAAAACCACAAGCAGCATAAACAACATATTGAAATGTATTCAATATGTTGTTTTCTCCACTGAATTCTTATTCTTACTATCTTATTTTAAATAACTGGATGTCAATACTATGAAATATTTTTTAACCACTATTAATAAAATTCAGCACGATCTGTATTTCATGTGTCTCCACTAATTTAATCATATTCGATTTAGAGTCTATTAAATGGAATCTGCAACTGCCTGTGTGTAGGCCAACTTCTACAGAGCCATGGTATTCACAGCTCAGACACCCGTGAGTGGCAGGGCAATGGCAAATGTGTTTTGGTAAAATTGTGAGCAAGACAAAGTATAATCTTCCTTTGATGTATATGGTAGCTCTCTTCCTCTAAAATTCAGCATCTGTCATAGCTGTTCTAGAAATACTTAGTGATTATATGTAAAATAAAGTTAGGTTCTAGACCCAAGTAATTTTAAATAACCATGCAGGGACATTCAGCAGTCCTGCAGGCTATGGGAAAATTCTCCTGTGGGGCTGCCACACACACTGCAAGATGTCTAGCATCCTGCCCACTAAATGCTGATAACTGTCTCCAATCACAAGTAAAGACACCCCACAAATTTCCAGAAACGCATCCTAGGGGATGATGAGGTCTCTGTTGGAAACTGTTGTCTTAGACTAGGAGTCCTCCAACTTTGTTCCCCACAGTCCTTATAAAAGAATTTTGAAAAACTATATACCTTCTTGTAAATTTATGAGATGATATCTATAATTTTCCATCCTAAGTTTAAATAGCTATAAAAGAGGCAATTTCTGGAATATTGTAAATATCAACATTTTCAAAAATTAATAAACTTATATTTTTTAGGCAAGTTTTATGCTCACAGCAAAATTGAATGCAAAATACAGAGAATTTCCATATACCCACACAGGCATAGTCTCCCTCATTATCAACACTCCCCACCAGAGGGGTACATTTATTATAGTCCATGAATCTATACTGACACATTATTATCACTCAAAGTCCATAGTTTCCCTTAGGGTTCACTCCTGGTGTTAGAGATTCTATAGGTTTTGACAAATGTACAATGACATGTACCCACTATTGGAATATATTGTAAAGAATAGTTTAATTGCCCTAAAAATCCTCTGTGTTCTGCCTATTCTTCTATCCCTCCCCACAAACCCTGGCAACCACTGATCTTTTTACTGTCTCCATAGTTTTGCCTTTTCCAGAATGTCATATAATTGGAATGAGTGGGTACTGGATTTTATTAAATGCTTTTTTACATCAATTAATAAAATCATTTCATTTTTCTCTTTAGCCTGTTGGTGTGGTAGATTACATTAATTGATTTTCAAATGTTGAACCAGCCTTGCATACCTGGGATAAATCCCACTTGGTTGTGGTGTATAATTCTTATTATACCTTGTTGAATTTGTTAATACTTTGTTGAAGACTTCACATCTATGGTCACAAGAGATACTGGTCTGAGTTTTCTTCTAATGTCTTTGTTTGGTTTTGGTATTAGGATAATGCTGGCCTCATAGAATGAATTAGGAAGTATTCTCTCTGCTTTAATATTTTGGAAAAAATTGTAGAGAATTGGTATCATTTCTCCTTTAAATGTTTGTTAGAATTCATCAGTGAACCCATCTGGCACTGGTATTTTCTCTTTTGGAAGGTTATTAAATATTGTTTCATTTTTTAATAGATATAGGTTTATTCAGATCTATTTCTTCTAGCATGACTTTTGGCAGCTTGTGTCTTTCAAGGAATTGTTCCATTTCATCTAGGTTATCAAATTTGTGGGCATAGATTGTTCATAATGTTCCTTTGTTATCCTTTTAATGTTTATGTTATCTGTAGAAATGTCCACTCTTTCATTTCTGATATTAGTAATTTGTGTCTTTTCTCTTTCTTAGTTAGCTTGGCTAGAGGCTTGTCAATTTTATTGATCTTTTCAAAGAAAGAGGTTTTGGTTTCATTGATTTTCTCTATTGATTTCTGGTTTATATTTTATTGATTTCTGCTCTGATTTTTATTATTTCTTCTTTTCTGCTGACTTTTGATTTAATTTGCTCTTTTTTCTCCAGATTCCTAAGATAGAAACTTAGATTATTGATTGTAGGTTTTTCTTCTAATATATACATTCAATGCAATAAATTTCCCTCTAAGCTCTTTCACTGCATCCCACACATTTTGATAAGTTGTGCTTTCATTTAGAAGTGTGTTGTTTAATCTCCAAGTATTTTGGGATTTTCCAGCTATTTAGTTGTTGTTGATTCCTAGTTTAATTCCACCATGGTCTGAGAGCAAACATTGTATGATTTTTATTCTTTGAAATTTGTTAAGGTGTGTTTTATAGCCCAGGATGTAGTCTATCTCGGTGAGTGTTCCATGTGATCTTGAGAACAATGTGTATTCTTCTATAGTTGGATGAAATAGTCTGTAGATGTCAATTATATCCAGCTGATTGATTATAACCAGCTCATAGTTGAGTTTAACTATGCCCTTATTTATTTTCTATCTGCTAGGTCTGTCCATTTCTGTGGATGGGTGTTAAGAGTCTCTAAGTGTAATAATGGATTCATCTATTTCTTCTTGCAGTTCTGTCAGTTTTTGCTTCACATATTTTTGGTTCTCTGTTGTTAGGCATATACCCATTAAGGACTGTTATGTCTTCTTGGAGTATTGATCCCCATATCATTATGTAGTGCCCCTCTTTATCCTTGATAACTTTCCTTGCTCTGAAGTCAGCTGTGCCTGAAACTAATGTACCTACTCCCACTT